TTATATTTTTTTGGTAAAAAAATATATATTTTGCGCAGAGCCGGATTTTTCATATCCGGAATTCATCCGGAATTTTCATCCGGATTGAAAATCCTAGATAAAATTGGGCTGCTGGATATTCAGATTTTCTACCTAGCTTGTATGTAATAGTTATCAAGATATTCGACCTTCAATTTATAAGTTGAGAGTTTACTCCCTTTCTATTGGTAAGAATTAGTTTTTCTCTAACAAACAAGTGCGCCATTATTTCGCATTTTTTAATTATAGGTGAACAACGGAATATGGCAATATGGTTAAACGCTAGGTTACCAGTCGGGCCGTCCGGTTATCATAGTTTCTCGAGAGGCGTAACCTTGCAAGGACCAGGTTATGACCTAAAAAAAAAGAAAAATCATAATACATCCAAACAAAAACTAGGTTGTGTAGAAAAATAAACTGAACAACTTTTGCCTCACGGTCACGTTCAAATGTTTTACCAAATTTAACATTAAAAATTAAATTAGAAGTAAATTTTATTTTTATTTTTGTTTGGATCGGTCGGGCAAGTGGTCTTGGGCCACTCTTGTAACCTAGGTTAAAGACTATTAAAAAAATAAAAATGATAATAGTTAATTAAATCTCTATTATTTTTGTTAACCTCAGCTTCATGATTGCATTCTTAACTTCCTAAATAGATAAATCATCCTCGAATGTGATTTGCAATCCTCGAAGACAAAAAGTAGAGCAGAAGATTATAAAATTTGTTGATCATCCTATACAAATCATAATTTCATATGAATTTGGTCGGTTTGTGTCACCTTGAATGCTTGGGCGGACCGATCAGACAAGGGTACTACCCCCCAAAAAATAATGTAAAAAATATATAAAAAATATAAAAACATTAAGTGAACAAGTTTTAGGGAAGGTTCTTAGCCCACTACCCGAAACGAATCAAAAAAATCCGGGAGAATCTATATTCTACAAAAATATAAATTGAACAACTTTTATCACGATATCAATATCAATTTTCTTAACGATATATGAAATAAAAAATAGAATAGGCTACCAGAGTGGCTCGAGACCACTTGCACGACTGGGTAAGGAAAAATAAAAAATTAAAAATGAAAAATTAACATTATTTTTTATTTTTAATTTGATAAAGAATTTGGATGTGACCCTCGGATAAAAGTTGTTTAGTTTATTTTTATGCAATAATATTGTTTTTGCAGGTTTTTTTTTTTTTTTTTTTTTTTTTTTTTTTTTTTTTTTTTTTTTTTTTTTTTTTTTTTTTTTTTTTTTTTTTTTTTTTTTTTTTTTTTT